CTCCAACGGGACAGGACATAGGGTTGGCAGGACCCCCGGCAGGAGAGTAGTCGGCGGGGCCTCCAACGAGACAGGACAAGGAGCTGGCAGGACCCCCGGCAGGAGAGTAGATGGCGGGACCTCCAACGGGACAGGACAAGGGGTTGGCAGGACCCCCGGCAGGAGAGTAGACGGCGGGACCTCCAACGGGACAGGACAAGGGGTTGGCAGGACCCCCGGCAGGAGAGTAGTCGGCGGGACCCCCAACGGGACAGGACATGGAGTTGGCAGGAGCCCCAGCGGAACCTCCAACGGCACTTCAGTAGGGACTTGAGTTGGGACTGGAGAGGGAACTCGAGAGGGGACTCGAGAAGGGATTTGAGAGGGAACTCGAGAGGGAACTCGAGAGGTGACTCGAGAGGTGACTCGAGAGGTGACTCGAGAGGTGACTCGAGAGGGGACTCGAGAGGTGACTCGAGAGGGGACTCGAGAGGTGACTCGAGAGGTGACTCGAGAGGTGACTCGAGAGGGGACTCGAGAGGTGACTCGAGAGGTGACTCGAGAGGGGACTCGAGAGGGGACTCGAGAGGGAACTCGAGATGGGACTAGAGGAGAGACTACAGGAGAGACTTGAGAAAGGCTAGAGAAGGGACTTGGGAAGGGACTAGAGAGGGGACTAGAGGAGGGAACTGGAGGAGGAACTAGAGAAGGGAACTCGAGAGGGGAACTAGAGGAGGGACTCGCGAGGGGAACTAGAGGAGGGACTAGAGAGGGGACTAAAGGAGGGACTAGAGGAGGGACTAGAGGAGGGACTAAAGGAGGGACTCGAGAGGGGACTCGGGTAGGAACTTGAGAAGGGACTCGAGAGGGAACTGGAGAGGGAACTGGAGAAGGGCCTTGAGAGGAGACTCGAGAAGGGACTCGAGAGGGGACTGGAGAGGGAACTGGAGAGGGAACTGGAGAGGAGACTCGAGAGGGGACTCGGGAAGGAACTGGAGAGGGGACTCGGGAAGGAACTGGAGAGGGGACTCGGGTAGGAACTGGAGAGGGGACTTGAGAGGGGACTTGAGAGGGAACTTGTGTCGGTCGGCACGCCGACAGGACACGGGGAGCTGGCGTCGTCTGGGGAGCCAGCAGGAGACGAGGTGCTGGAGTCGGCCGGTACACCGACAAGACTCGGGGAGCTGGTGTTGCTGAAGAGCCAACAGGAGACGAGGTGCTGGAGTCGGCCGGTACGCCGACAAGACTCGGAGAGCTGGCGTCGGCTGGGGAGCCAGCAGGAGACGAGGTGCTGGAGTCGGGACCATGACTGCTGGAGCCGGTACTTGAGCCGGAATCATGGCTGGAACTGGGGCCGGAACCATGGCTGTATGGGCCAGCTCTGGTGCAGGGACCACGGTTGTAAGATCCAGTTCTGGAGCCGGAAACATGGCTGTAAGGTCCGGAGCTGAAGCCTGGATCATGGCTGTGTGGGCCGGTTTTGGAGCCGGAAACATGGCTGCTGGGGCCGGCACTGGAGCCGGAACCATGGCTGCTGGGCAAGGAACCGGAACACGGATCCATGGCTGTGTGGGGTGGTACTGGAGCACGGTACCATGGCTATGTGGGATGGTACTGGAGCACGGAACCATGGCTGCTGGGTCCGGCACTGGAGCCGGAACCATGGCTGTTGGGGCCTGTACTGGAGCCGGAACCATGGCTGCTGGGGCTCGGGCTGCTAGCCTGGCCTTGCGACGACTCCTCTTAGCAGCCTCCTGAATACTCCGTGGACCTCCATAAGCCTGACGAGTTCCGGAATACGACTCCTGGACAGAAGCAGGAACTGGGGCAGAAGCACGGGTTGACTTCAGGCGGAACCCACCAAGGCGTATGGTGCCAGGTTGGGAATTGGGAGACAGGGAGCTAGCATGCCTGGAATCACATGCTTGAAGGAAGTCCAAAATCCAGTCAGGTAAAAACTCAACAAAACATGGTTTCTCTGCTGCCAACCGGAGCGCCTCTACCAGAGCGGCCCTCTTCTGCCGAACACTGGACGCTCCCTTCCACCAATCGAAGCAGCAAGCCAGATAGAAAGTTAAATGCTGTAATTCAACCTCCCATGGATCATCTGCTGGGTCCATTTTGTGGTCGGTTCGTTCTGTCATGGTAGAGCGAAGGAAGCAGGACCCAAATGCAGATTAAACTGATAATGCCTTTATTTCAAGGATAATGAAGTAGAACTTGGACAGACAGAACACTCACCGGTGAACACAGTCAACAACAAAAGACGAACCGACAAAGACAGACAGAAAAACCAGAACTTAAATACACACAAGACTAATCACACAAACACGACACAGGTGAGGAGGGAGGAGAAAACACAGGGGCCACAGGTGAACACAATCGGGTAATCAGACACACCAGGGAAACTAACGACAGGGAACCACAGACAGATCTAAACAAGACAAAACACAACGCAGACAGAAAACCAAAAACAGATCTAGACAAGACAAAACACCACAAAGACAGATCGTGATATGCATGCTTGTGAAGCTGACCATTGAGCGGCCCGACCAAGCAAGGAGGCAGATGCAGAACGTCCAAAATACAACCCGGTGTGGGCATTTATTACTCACGGGCACATGACACAGCCTCAATCTCGCTGTTCACGTGAGCACAGTCACCAGCCACAAGGATCTCACACACACTACCTCTCCACTGACAGGGAAAACAGAGCCTAAATATACACACACTCTAATCCAGCATTTCTCAAAGTGTGGGGCGCGTCCCACTGGTGGGGCGCAGAGATGTGATAGGTGGATCGCGATAAAAAAAATAAAAAAAGATTAAATTCTTTTTTTTCTTTTTTTTTCACACTGGTGGAATATCAAAACAACGGCCCGCCCGGGGTGCAAAACGCATCAATGAAAGCGACCCTCTACCACACAAAACAACACCTGTAGATAACCCAATTTGTGTTCTTTGAAATTGAAAAGGATATTGCATTGTGTTTGTTACTTTCGTTGCAGTTGTATGTCTTAAGTGTAATTTGGCATGCTTTTATTTTGAAGGCGAGTTTACGCTGTTGACAGTTGTTGTTGCTATGGAAACAAACGTTTCACAGTGGGCGGAACTTGTCATAAAGTCTGCGATAATAAAGCCCACCCATTTAGAGGGACGATATGATTGGTCAATTGTACTGTCATTTGACATTACTCTCTCGTTCAGTTACTATAGCTGGCCCTCTGTAAATTCATAGCTGGACGTCCAATCAGCTCCTCTCTTCACAGTAACTCGCAGAGAGGAGCTTCTTGCATTTAACCCTTCACATTCAAACAGAAACTGAATAGGCAGATTTGAGAAGGACTGATTTCTTATTTCACGGGGTTTGTCAAGCTAAGCACATGGTGTAGTCCCAAACGATAGCTGAAGATTCTGGGTAGTGTAGTGTCTTCTGCCATCCAAAAACTCCGAAAAATTATTTGTTTCTCCGAATCGAAGGGGGAAAATACAAAAGCATTGTACACAATTCAAACCAATCAATGTTGTGTAATTAACAAGGATAATTTGGTGTTTTTTAGTCGATGAGTAGTGCAGATATCACTGTAAAATCAATCGACAGTAAGGAGATTACTTACTTCCGGGTGTAAAATTCTCCGTTATCCAATGGGAATGGACGCTCGTAATACAATAAAGGGGACATGATCATTATCTTTTAAATAACGTTAACTAAAGGGAACAATCTATTTGACACAGCTGAAGCTCTGGCCTTCCTTAAAAACTAACTAATTTAATAAAAATCACAGTTGTATTACACACAATGCACTGTTTTTTGAGAACACAAATTCGTAACTAATGTATTTTTTACATTCTGACGAAAAATTAAAATTATTATGAATACAAATAAAATAAAAGAAGCCTCCCGCGAGTTACTACAAGCTATAAAGTAGATTTTAAAAAACGTTTTATAGAATAAAAGCTCAATGCGGGACGTTGTAGAAATGCGTGTGTGCACCACGACAAAGGAGCCTCATTCACTTTACATTGGGGTTGTTTGCGTGGTGCCGACACGTAAATGTAACAAAGTTCGTGACTCCACCACGCATTGTGGTGTTAAGGAGTCGTGGTGGAGTCACGCATTCTGGTGAGATCACGTTGGCTGTAACAGGCTGCCACTCACGTGGCGCCTTACTGTCTTAAAGGTAGGGTAGGTCATTCACTTCAGAAACACTTGTTGTTATATTCCATGGAATGCTCTTAACATCCCGATAGCAATGAATAAATTAAATGCTTTGACAATAAATACATAAGAAAATGTCATCTGTGGAAGCCGCGTGGCGCTGTAAAAAGCACGACCAATCATTTTAGCCGGCCTGGCTAAAATAACTGGATGGCCAGGATGCCCTCATTGGTCATGTGCACGTTCTTGTGTGTTGGAGGAGGGGCTCTGTAAGGAAGTCTGAAAGAAGGGGCAGATTTTTTTCGGCTGCATACTTTCAAATCCTAGTGCACTCGAGCTGGTTTCTCCATTTTTACCTACCCTACCTTTAATACACATTGCTAATGTAAGACATTTAAATCAATGTTTAATGACGTAATTTAGTTTAAACATACAGTAAGCTTAAAACTGTTTTATTCTGAAAACATTTTCGGTTAGCATTCGTCTGTGACTAACGTTGTTGCTAAAGTTTATTTTGAAAAGCTTTACCGGAAGAAGTCTCCGGATATCAACAGTGAGCTTAACTTCAGGTTTTACATTAACATCGATTACAGCAGTTAAAATTCATTAAATAAAAAGTCATGACAGAGTATATGAGTAGAAAAGGCGTGTGGAGTTATACAATGACCACACAACGTCTAAATCCTCTGTTTTACGCGATATCGGACATAGAAGAAAGTGGTGGGAGGACCCCCGTCACCGGCCGCCATTGAAGAGGAGGAGCTCTGAATGAGATAGAGGCCATTTCTCAATCGCAAGTAAAACTGCTGCAAAGCAACTATTTCAAGTATACTACGTCATCGAGTGGCGCCGAAGGACTGTTCCAATGTCCAGCATACATGAAATTCTACCGAGCCCGGCGTACTTCGTTGCGGGAAATTTCGAGCATGCACATGTGTAGACTCCGCGGACTTAAAATCCCCACAATGCTTTGCATACTGACCAATTTCAAACATCTTTGGCGGAGAATGGCTGAAGCGACGCAGTACACATGTAAATCTAAGTAGGCTACTGTATGTACAGTGGCGTAGAAAACTTTGTTAAATTTGTTATCTCCAAAAATGTGTTCCATGAAAGTAAAGCAAGTTCATATTTAGATAGGTACATCGTGAGGTATTTATTTTCGGTACAGCAGGGCTGCCAACACTCACGCATTGAGCGTGCGAGTCACGGAATTAACCCATATCTCACGCACTCACGCCACACTTGCCTTTCCTCACGCTAAGTTTTCGTCCAAACTAAATGTATATACATTTAAAAATAAAGTGAAGGAACAGCAAACCGAGCTGTCTACGAAATGAGACGGTCTTCCGGCTTAGTTCAGTAAAGTTGGAACGATATTGGGAGATTCTGATTTCACAGATCAATAACTCATGAACAAAACGTTATTCAGACACAAATGACGTCTCCTAAGTACCGTGGTAAGGTTGACAACGAACTACAATCACATTTTGATCAAAAAAAGCCAATACGTGCTGTCCTCCGAGCTGGACACATTAAATTGGTCTCTATCTGCAGCCGGAGAAGAAACGAGTGCTCAGGGACCGTCTGCAAAGTGCAACTCCGAAAAAAGAGAATACAATAATATTCAATCACTATTATACAGCTTATTACTACCAAACTCACCACCAGTGGCGGCTGGTGGAAAATATTTTTGGTGGGGCTGTTGATATAGTGAGTAAAACATTTTGTTTTGGGGAGAAATGACCCCTTAAATTAGGACTTCTGGTGATGTAATGACGCGTTTCCAGTGCAGCACGGAGCTCGCTTTAATGCTGCGTTCAGACCGGACGCGATGCGAATATTCGCTTCGCTCTAAACGCTCCTATTGCATCGCTCTAGTCGCTCAAGTTTCACCGCGGCTGCCAGCTGTGTTTACTCGCATCATTCAAACAAGACGCACTGGCTCGGGAGCTACAACTACAACAAAATGAACATATTTTACCGTGATTAAATTGTAATACACGTTTCTAAATTATGCCGACGTAACAACATACTGATACCGGTTAGTAAAAACCATGAATTAATGCTTTGACAAGTCTGCAGATAAACGGCAGGCGAAAAACCTTTTAGAATGCTTGTTTTCTGAATGGAGATTGGGTCGACCAGGCTAAGCTAACATTGTATATGCTCACTCCACACTCATAACAACGGTCTACAGACATAAATAAACCAGCGACTGTATTCGCCATGACACAGACAGTGCCGAGCCGTGCGGGGACCGTTTTTGGTTGCGTTTCCACTTGGCCTAGTACCGGCTAACGGGTCCTAATTCACAGTTTTTCTGGCCCCATAAAATCGTGGTTCTAGGGCCAGGAACAACCAGGCTGAGTCGGGCTGAGTATGCTAAACTAGAGAGAGAATCGCTGGCAAGGGGGCTACAACTACAACAAGATGAACATATTTTACCGTGATTAAATTGTAATACACGTTTCTAAATGATGCCGACGTAACAACATACTGATACCGGTTAGTAAAAACCATGAATTAATGCTTTGACAAGTCTGCAGACAGACGGCAGGCGAAAAACCCTTTTTAAAATGCGTGTTTTCAAAATGGAGCTTGGCTAAGCTAACGTTATATACTGTATGCTCCGACCGTCCACATTCACAACAACGGCCTATACAGACATAAATAAACCAGCGACTGTATTCTCCATGACACAGTCTGTGGTTTGTACTTGTTTAACTTTTGTCTAGTTTCTGAACAGATCGTATCTGTCCCCGGCTGTTTGAAGAGCAAGCATGGGAAACAAAAGACAGCATTTACCTCTTTGCATCCAGCTTGCCATGCCTTTCTGGTGTACCAGCTACGTGAGAAGCCTCGTTGATACGTTTTGTCTTTTTCACGAGCTTGCTGCGATATATACAAATCGGGTTGGTCCGGTCCAAGGTCTTTAAGTATCAATTTATCTCCCAAACTTCTCCTTTCGAAAGGATTGGAGATTAGCTCTAATTTAATATTTTTGTATGTGGGAAGAGGTGGGGCGGCGCCTAGTGAGGTAAAGGACTCTGTTTAGATAGTTAACTTTAGTCTAGTTATCTCAGTGGGTCTCAAACGATTTGGTCACCATTTATGAGAATAAATGAAAAACAGTTATGAAATACTATATGACAGTAAAACAAGAATAAAGTTTAAAAGGGCAGTGATTTGTAAAATATCCATAAAGAAAAAGAAAATCTGTTTACAGTTCTGTTTCATATGGGTGTTGAGAGATGTATCCATACATTCATTTTGCTCTCAAAGTGCACCAGATTGATGCTTTTAACTTCAATATTTAAAAAATAAATCTACCCGAGGGAGCATGCCCCCAGACCCCCATAGAGGAGGTGAGGACCCTCCCCCCCCCCCCACTTATAAAATAGCACTTACATATATGCCATTTTATATGCTGTGAGCTGATTATCGAGCCTTCATTGTAAGAGTCGCGGGTACACTGTGTATGCGTATTCCACTGTAGCGCCCGGTACATTTATGGGAAACCCTAGTTTGTACATGTTCAATACATTTGTAACACTGTAGCATATACATTGTCACATGAACGCTTATTACTTCGGTTCACCAAAAAAAAAATCTCACTCCAAGCTGAACTCAAATGTTGGCAGCCCTGGGTAGTTTATGTTGAAACCGGACTGCAGTTAAACTCAGTTTCTGTAATAAACTGGCAACAGAGTGTTTGGCCTGGTATTCATTAATTACACACGACATTATAACATGCTTTTGTTTCTGGTGTTTGCTCAAGGGACTAAGGAACAGACGGAGGCATTTATACGCCTCCGTGCTGAGCACCGGCACCTGTTCACGGGCGGTTGGGACACGGTTATCGGTGAGAAGCAAGTGAGATTGTTTAGTTAGTAAATATGGTTCAAGATGTAATTTAATCGCTGCTTTCTCCTTCTTATCATTTACATAGGACAATTGTGGCAAAAATGGGGATAAAGGGAAGTGTAACCCACGTCCAAGCCAAGAAAAAGTGGGACAACCTCAAAAACAAGTACAAGGTGTGAGAGGTTAGACATGATTATATGTATTGTGTTTTCATATATTAATGCGTGTATGTGTTTGGTCTTCACTATTCAGGAATGCAAGTGTCCCGCCTCAGGACAGGGCACCGAGGATGGGAAACCCACGGCAGCAACTTGGGTCTGGTTTGTCCTAATGGATGAGGCATTAGGGCAGTGTGCGGCGCTCTGCCCCCCCTTCAAGAGGACAATCCAGGCCCAAGCACTGCCCAGGATGGTCAGAAAGTGTGAGAGAAAAAAGAGAAGGACGACACGGAGAGGAACGAAAAAGAGGGTGAGAAAGGATCCCTACTTTAATCTCTTAAGGGAGGACATCCTCTATCAGAGAGGCAGAGGAGAGGAGAGCAGCAGAGGCCCGAGAAAGGTCCGACAAGTTTTTAGCCGTCTTAGAGCGTTTTGCACCAAAATAAAAAATGACATTGGAATGAAAATAAACCTTGTTTTGACTTTGCCTCTTTTGTTGATATTTGTGTTTTATGCTACAATGTGCACCAATATGTGTAAAAAAGGTTTGCAGACATCAAGTATGATATATGAATATATATATATTATTCAGAATCAGAAACGGGTTTATTGCCAGGTAGGTAGGTTCACACCAGAGGTCGCGTTAACCGAATATTTTCCGTCAATGACGAATTTTTTCTAACAATGACGGAAAAATCTGAAAGCAGTCCGTCATTTTGACGGATTAGAACACAACTCGGAACAGCGCCAAAATGTCCACCAGCGGCCCACATTATATGACATCCTTAGTGGCCAGGTCGACTAAGGTTCTTATTATACATCCATGGACTGAGGGCGATCTACTGTACTCTACTGTAGTCTGTAACTATGTGAAACTAATTGTCTCATTTAAAATGATGGCATTGTTCATATTTGCCTGTTTAGGCACAATGGTCGTGGTGTTTTTAGCGGCCTCTGCCCCCTCTGCTGTCAGTGCAGGAACAAATTAATCATTCATGTTCGTGTTGACATGAAAAGTGACCACACGGTCGGTGTCTCTGTTCATCTTTTTTTTCTCCATGCCCTTAAAAGTTCTGTATGAATCATTAAAAAAATGAATGAATGAGAATTTGCTGCTCAGTACCCAAACATAAATATGAAATATGTCTCATCTCATCATTAAAACATGAAAAATAAATGACGGGTAATAATGGATTATGACGGAAATTTTACGATCCTGTCCGTCAACATGACGGACAACGAAAAAGTCTAACGTAACCACTGGTTCACACGTACGAGGAATTTGACTTGATGTCATGGTGCATACATAACATAAAACAAAAAACGAAAATAAGTACACAGATAGCGAACTATATTAACAACACTAAACAAATATAGATAGATAGCAATTCAATAAAGCAAAGCAGTAATTTACAGCCAAATAGAATGCAGTGAATTATAGAATATAATATGAAATATGTGCAGTAAGCAATATTTGAACATTGTGTGCATTAATGTAATGTGTATAGAGTCTGCGTTGTGGCTGAGGTAAAGTGTCAGTGGGGGGGCCCGGGCCTTGTTTAAGAGGCCGGTAGCGGAGGGGAAGAAACTGTTCAGGTGGATAGAGGTTTTGTTCCTGATTGAGCGCAGCCTCCTGCCAGAGGGTCCATCTCCCACATGTAGGCAGAATTGGTGATGTTGTGGCTGTCCAGGACTTTTTCAAGGCTGCAAACAGAAGGAGAAAGTGTTATGTTAGTTTAGTGGTTCTGTTCTGGAGAGATGCTCATTTTACAAAATACAGTTACTCAAGTACATAAGCAGATTGTGACATGGGATTTGAGCCATGTTCTTCACCTGTGCAAAATAGTCATGGTCCAGTGGAGCAACAGCAAGTTGACAAGGGCCGCACGCCATGCTGCTCCACTCTCACTTGCCCCTCCACCTTCATGTGCAGCAGGTGGCTGGTTGTCCTCCTCCAGGGTGGCGTCTTCTCCAGGTAGGAGACCCCCGACACAGATGTTGTGCAAAATGACACATGCTGTCACAACCTGTGCACAAGGCAGAGCAAAAAAAGGACAAAACAAAGTGTGATGCATAGTATTGTAAGCCTATGTGACTATGCAATTGTTAGGCATTAAGACAGTCTTACTATAGCAGGATAAGGATATTAGAATTTGAATTAACTAATTTGCTACAGAAACATTAGAATGATTCATTACCTTGGGGACAAACTCATGATGTACTTCAAGTGTTTCTAAAAAGATGCACCTGAAGTGGGTTTTCATCACCCCAAAGGCCCGCTCAATGATTGAGCGACCCCTGGAGTGATGGTAATTAAACCGTTGTTCTGCCATGCCTCTCATTGGCCTCTTATATGGTGTGATAAGGGCCAGGGGTTCCTGAAGACATGGGTAGCCACCATCAGCTAGGTATACCCTGGTACCCTGGTGGAGGGTAAGTCACCCTAGAGTAGATGGGGCTGTTCTTAAGAATCCGTGCGGCATGCACGGATCCTGGGTAACCCACAAAGATGTCCACAAAGCGTCCCTGATGGTCACAGATGCCCTGCAACACAACTGAATGGAATAGCTTCCTGTTGCAGTAGTCTGGACCATCAGGGCCGCTTGGGCATTTGATTCGGATGTGGCAGCATTCAATTGCCCCAGCTGCCTTGCAAAAGGCTTAGTGGCGAGCCAACCGGGCAAAACCGTCACCAACCCCCGGCAAGTTCTTCGCGCCTGGGAGACGGACAAACTGGGGCAAGACGGCCACCACCTCATCCACCATCCTGTGGACAATCCGGTGGACGGACGGCAGAGGCACATTGAAGACACGGGAGACCACTCTGTAAGCGGAGCCACTGGCAATCCAAAAGAGAAACACCAGCGTCTCCAGAGTGGCCCCCCATCCGTGGTGCCTGTCCATCTTCAGCGCCAATAGGAGCTGCTGGATGGCCTCCCCTCCCCTCCTCGTTGGCAAATAATCGCTGGAGGACTGGCACGGTGGCATTGATACTGCAGTAATCAGCCTGCACAACCTAAAAAATGGAGGGCAGTTTCAGTTTACTTGACATTTGTTTATTGTTAACGGTTCTTTTTTTCTAATCTGCAATTTGCTTGTGTGTGTGTGTGTTTTTACATTATTAAAAAAACAATTTCAATGTGATACACATTTGCTCCGCATCAATAAGTGTTAGAACGACTACAAACATGCACATACTAAATATATGCAAAATTGACACGGGACAAAAATGTGGCTTGCTTATTGTGCGGGAAGCATGGCAGTAGAAAGGGGTGTCTACCAAGGGGGATTTAAACCATGACAATTCACAAACTAACTATGGAGTAATTATGGATAGTTCATTTACTTGATTCACATTAGAGAATAAAACTCGTACGGAATGCAAGCAGCAAGACTTATTTAACTAACTTTACCCATTCTCCCAACATTGAATAAAACAATACATTATTTCTCCTACCCGAGCACATCTTCCTCCGCAAAGGTGCCGACAGAACATCCTCCTCCTCTGAGCAGACAGATGCCGCCGATACTCTCGCTCTATTTCTTCCTCCTTCTCAATAAATGCATTCATCGAACTAGACAGCAACACAAATGTGTCCATCTTCGTAATTCAGTTTTGAGTTTTCAAACAAATCGCGCTCCATTTAAGGCGGTGCCTCGCATATGACGCACACCTGCTGCCAGGCCCGGTTCTACGGGGGTGCATAAGGGTGCATTGCACCCTCAGTTGAGTCGTTATGCACCCTCATTTGAAAAATGAAAAGTGAAAAAAAAAAAGTGAAAAGTGAAAAACATTACATATATAATAACAATAATAATAATAGTAGTAGTAATAATAAGAATAATAAGAATATAGTATAATTGTGGTTAAATAACATTGTCTGCTGCATATATATATATTGGTCAATTTAAACGGTAAGTAACGTTATTATGTCAGGTGCGCCTGACCTGTGCCACTGCGCGTTCGTCATCTGCAAAGTGCTTGCACAGCAGTCAGTGATGGACATCAGAAAATGGTTAAAACAACCAGCCCTTTATCGCCAGCAGTAACACTGCATCTACTGCAGGAATAACAGTTCAGATCATGGGGACATTACGTTACCCGCGGGCACTGTCGTGGACACTAACGTCCTCCCGCCCGACTCGCCGGCTTTGCCCGCCTGGCCCACAGAGGCGGAGCAGCCGCAGCCATCTTCGTTGCCCCAAACACCGCCACCCCTCGGCGGCCCGCAAGTGCAAGTGGACCTGGTCCTCTGCGTGCAGGTAAGGCGCTCATTTTGCAGCTCATGGTTTCAAAACAGAGATTGGCTGGAATATTCATGTAAAAAAGATGCCATCTTCTGCTATGCATGTAGACATTTCGGTTCAAGTAAGTCAGATGCCTTCACCACAACTGGCTACAACAACTGGCGCCATGCTCTTGTACGTGAGAAGGGACTGGGAAGGCATGAATCAAGCAAAGAGCACTTACTGTAGATCCATAGATCTCTTCATGTTGCTCTCAAAGTGCACCAGATTGATGCTTTTAACTTCAATATTTAAAAACAAAATCTACCCGGGGGAGCATGCCCCCAGACCCCCATAGAGGAGGTGAGGACCCTCCTAGAGGAGGTGAGGACCCCCCTAGAGGGTGTTAGGTCCACTCCCCACTTATAAAAATAGCACTGTACCACTGCACCCTCTCTAATCTCAGATGCACCCTGAGTCATTTTGCTCTGGAACCGGGCCTGCCTGCTGCACACCTGTTAGCCTGTTCCATTCTTCTTCGTTTTCCGTGGCGAGGCTTGGAGGTATTCTTGCGTCGCTTCTGAAGCAACTGACTCTGAGGTACATGTGCTGCCGGCCACAGTCAGAGAACGGACGTGTACTCGCTCTCTTTCCACGGCCGCAACTTTGAGATAACAGCTGATATCGCTCCCTCTACACCTCTGTTTGTTGCATTACCACGCTACTTAATTAAAGTAACCAACTTGACCCTTTTCAGAGACTCCATTGTCTCTTATTCTTTAAGCTTCTCTCCTGGGACGCGAGAGAAACTAATACTGAAGGGAAATGTTTACATATGTCCTCAGTTATTGTATGTATAGACTAGAGCAGTGGTTCCCAAACTTTTTGTGCCCAAGGCACACCAAAGGACAAGTAAAAATCTCAAGGCACACCTATTGTGCAAAATAGCCCTTCTAACACGTGTTATCACTCATATCATGTAAAATATCTGTAAATGTGAATAATTATTTACTAATGCCAAATAAAATGTGACAAAGACAACTATATTACTCATGAGATATTTATTAACAAAGTATTTCAGAAATTAATTTGAAACTTTATCAAATGAGGCTTCATCAAAGCAGCAACACACTCATTTAAACCAGACAGGTCACAACATTAAAAATGAGGCAAAGGAAACTCAGCAGAAATTCAGCACAGAGAACTGTCAATGCAAGGAAGCTGCATTGTCCATGGTCCTGAACTACAAATTATAAATGT